TTCAGATAGTGGGCCGATTTCCCTTTGGCATTTTCGGCCTCTATACCCAGCATGCATTGTCAGCCTCACGTTCAAGTGCCCAGGGCCTAACTAACTCAGATGCCCTGGGTTCTCCACATTTGCAGAGATTCGAGACTCGGTGCACTCCAACCAACTGGCGTGCTGCAACTGTATGGACCCCACTTCGTGAAATGCTTGCACAGAGGGCTCTTGTTGATTTGCTGGCCCGCCTTCACTTAGGGCGGGCACTAGGCTTGCTGGGGCCTTAGCCCAGAACATGTACATCATGGCAAGGCCCCTTCTTGAGGGCTCAATCCATTCAGGATGCCAGTAGTGGTAGTACATTGTCGTTGCTTTGATGATTGGAGGCAGTGGAAGGGCGTTCTTTATCGAGAGACTTCCGTGTATTACTCGTCCCCTACTTGGTGTGCATTTCGCCCTGATTTCTGCTCTCACTTCGGCTCAATTATATCTGGCCTTTTCTGAGATGTAAGAATCTGGTTTATTGCTGTTCTCGTTGCATATTCCCTTGCATCGTTGTTATTTTGCTGTTGATTAATGTCAAGAAAGCAGTTCATTTTTCCTAAATTGCCTTGCCCCCAACTTGGGAGGCAACAATCACCAATGGCTCTTAATATATGTGACCATAACATCACAAACTTTCAAGGTGCACGCCCACTTTCATCCAGATTGTTGAATCGCGGAATTCGTTTCCATCTTCTTTTTTTTCCAAAACACCATGAAAATCAATCACGTGAACAAAACCAAAGTTGAATCGGAGCAGTTTGAGAGGCCATACCTGCGTGAGATATGGCATAAGGTTGTTCGGCGTTCCCTGTGGATCCTCGCCGAGGCGGCCACTTGAGTGTGCACCAATCGGATTAAAGTAGCGCAGCAAAATGATACCCCATCGATCATCTGCGCGGTAAAGGTCTTGCAAAATCAACTCGATGAAATACTGGATGCAAGCACCAAAAGGAAAGAAAACAGGAACGACCAGAACACACCGAATACGACAAACCGTTACATAACAATCAGATAAAGAAGAGAGACTGAACTCGATAAAAATGAAAAGAAGAAGAAGAAGAAGAAGAAGAAGAAGAAGAAGAGAGACCGAAGAGAACAAATGATCAGTGGAGAGGGACGGGCGGGGGGAGGGGAAGGGAGACAGAATAAATGATTCAGCAAGAGAATCACGTAGCATACCAGCGAGACAATCAAGACACAGCCAGGTAGCCCAGCACTCTTCGTAACGCATAGTCACACTCAATTTTCCTGGATGTATCTGACAAGAATTCGAGCCAAGTTCGGTCAAAAACGTCCTGGGCTGAGAACAATGTTACTCATAATACAGGCTTTCTGCAAACAGATTAACAAGTTGTAAGACTCTTCACTTTCACGTGATCAGCATGAAAAAAGACAACAGCATACTTAATCATGTATAATAAATTAATAATAATAAGGGATAATTTGCAAAATACCCCTATAAGTTGAGATCAATGCCAAAAAGCCCCTAAAAGATGTGGGTAAAGCGGAATACCCCTCTGACACAAGAAATGTTTTGCAAAATGCCCCAGGCGTTGGTTGGACCTGCCATCTTTGAAAAATACCCCTACCGGGTACCATCCATCTTTACAAAACATCCCGGTACTCGCCAACTTTTCCCAGACCCTATTTATTTCCGTTTTACCCCTACCGGCCCAGGTCATCTTTGCGTTTTGCCCCCTGGCCATTGCCTCCGAGAAAAACTCACGTTGAAGAGAAGGCACGGCCATGGCTGTAATGTTTTGGAGCAACTTTCGGTCTGCATAGACAGATACTGGGCGTGCGGTCTATTCCGGGGGAAGGTGCTGTCTTTTGGCAGTAGTGCTGAGAGAGAGAGACAGAGAGAGAGAGAGAGAGAGAGAGAGAGAGAGAGAGAGAGAGAGAGAGAGAGAGAGAGAGAGAGAGAGAGAGAGAGAGAGA